CTTGGATTTCACCGGATCACACTATACAGAATCAAATCGACCATATCTGCATCAACAAAAAGTTCAGGAGGACGATGGAGGATGTGAGAACCAGGAGAGGGGCTGATATAGCATCCTGTGGGGAGTAGTGTAACGTCGTGTACTATATCACACCTACATAGCTTATTCTAGTTTCTGGACTAGCCAATTCACCTATAACGTTATGAGTCATATTTTGGTCTTGTTAATTATTCCCTTATTGACCTTCACTATATTTTTTATATGAACGTATGTGTATGCACCCTTCTTATCCTACCTATCACATGTCTGTCATTCATTTTAGCCTGACTATAAATGTTGTTTAATGCTTGCTTATAACGAGTTGGCTTCCCAGCCATCTCCACTCTGCGTCATCTTTCCTTCGCTTGCTTACATTTGCTAATGTGCTCACTGCCTTCTAGCCCATGTTAGTTATCAATAAAAATGTAGTTGCTGCTTCCCTTTGTCTTCTGATATTATACACCGTTCAGATTGTTATAATAACGGTTATCAAGACGATCGATTAACGAAGCACTACACTACATAGGTGAATTGGCTAGTCCAGAAACTAGAATAAGCTGTGTAGGTGTGATATAGTACACGACGTTACACTACTCCCCACAATCCGACCATCATTCGCTGGTCGCCAAGATGAAACTAAAACTCAAGAAGCAGTGGACAACGGCGCGGACAACATCACAAAAGTTTAATACGGCCTTTCTTCGAGATGCTGACAAACTCAACAAATTCAACATAGCCCTCAGCAACAGGTTCCAGGCCTTTCATGATCTACTCAATGGTGAGGGATCTACCATGGAGAGCAACTGGAAAGGTATCAAGAAGGCAATCGTTTCAACGTGTCAAGAGGTTCTGGGCCAAAAGAATCACCATCACAAGGAATGGATCACTGTTGGTACACTGGATAAGATTGAAGCAAGGAGAAAGAAGAAGGCAGCAATCAACACCAGCCGAACCAGAGCGGAAAAAGCCAAGACACAAGCCGAATACACAGAGGCAAACAAGCAAGTGAAGAGGAGCATCAGAACCGACAAACGTAAATATGTGGAAGATTTAGCAACGACAGCGGAAAAGGCTGCAAGAGAAGGAAACATGAGACAACTGTATGATACAACAAAGAAACTTGCTGGAAATTACCGTAAGCCAGAAAGACCAGTGAAGAGAAAGGAAGGCAAAGTAATCACCGACATTGAAGAACAACGAAACAGGTGGGTAGAACACTTCAAAGAACTCTTGAATCAACCAGCTCCACTGAACCCACCCAACATCGAAGCAGCACCCATGGACCTCCCAATCGATATTGGCCCACCAACAATTGAAGAGATCAGCATGGCCATTAGACAAATCAAGAGCGGCAAAGCAGCAGGACCAGACAACATCCCGGCAGAGGCACTGAAAGCAAATGTAACAGCAACTGCCAAGATACTCCACATCCTCTTCAGTAAGATTTGGGACGAAGAACAAGTACCAACAGACTGGAAAAAAGGACTTCTGATCAAGATACCAAAGAAAGGTGATCTGAGAAAGTGCGACAACTACAGGGGCATCACTCTTCTCTCAATACCAGGAAAAGTCTTCAACCGAGTATTGTTAAACAGGATGAAGGATTCCGTGGACGCCCAACTTCGAGATCAGCAAGCTGGATTTCGTAAGGATAGATCGTGCACAGATCAAATCGCAACCCTGCGGATCATCGTGGAACAATCAATCGAATGGAATTCATCATTCTAAATCAATTTCATCGACTATGAGAAGGCATTTGATAGCGAGGACAGGACGACACTATGGAAGCTTCTTCGACACTAGGGCGTGCCTGAGAAGATAGTCAATATCATACGGAATTCCTATGATGGACTAAACTGCCAAACGTTCACAGAGGACAACTCACCGACTCGTTTGAATTTAAGACCGGTGTTAGGCAAGGTTGCTTACTCTCACTCTTTCTCTTTCTCCTGGTCATCGACTGGATCATGAAGACGTCAACATCTGGAGGAAACCACGGGATACAGTGGACAGGCAGGATGCAGCTTGACGATTTAGACTTCGCGGATGATCTATCTCTTCTATCACAAACGCAACAACAAATGCAGGAGAAAACGACCAGTGTAGCAGCAGCCTCAGCAGCAGTAGGTCTCAATATAAACAAAGAGAAAAGCAAGACTCTTCGATACAATACAATATGCACCAATCAAATTACACTTGACGGAAAAGCTTTGGAGGATGTGGAAACCTTTACATATCTGGGCAGCATCATTGATGAACACGGTGGATCAGATGCAGATGTGAGGGCGAGGATCGGCAAAGCAAGAGCAGCATACTTACAACTGTATAACATCTGGAAATCAAAACAATTGTCAACCAACACCAAGGTTAGAATTTTCAATACAAATGTCAAGACAGTTCTACTGTATGCGGCGGAGATGTGGAGAACTACGAAAGCCATTATCCAGAAGATACAAGTGTTCATCAACAGCTGTCTACGCAAAATACTTCGGATCCGATGGCCAGACACTATCAGCAACAAGTTACTGTGGGAGAAAACAAACCAGATTCCAGCAGAGGAAGAAATCAGGAGGAAGCGGTGGAAGTGGATTTCGCACACTTTGAGGAAATCAGCTATTTGCGTCACAAGACAAGCCCTCACATGGAATCCTGAAGGTCAACGGAGAAGAGGAAGACCAAAGAACACATCACGCCGAGAAATAGAGACAGACATGAGAAGAATGAACAAGAACTGGATAGAACTAGAAAAGGAAGCCCAGGACAGAGTGGGTTGGAGAAAGCTGGTCGGCGGCCTATGGTCCATTGGGAGTAACAGGCGTAAGTAAGTAAGTAAGTAAGTAAGCAGAGATGGATAGTGGCTAGCGGTGCAATCCAGGATGCGCGTTTCGTTCTACTTGGGATTAGTCAGCTGGATGTACCTTCATCTCAGAGTTGATGTTCACTGTTGAACTGGAAATCAGTACCTTTCGCTTCAAACACCATCGCGTTATCCACTCGGCCACTGAAACCTGATAGCCACTTGCTTGTGCAATGGGGTGAAGTTTAAATTCATTTAGTATTGTTTAAAATGCAGGTACATCCAGCTGACGAGTCCCAAATAGGATAAAACGTGAGTCAAACTGGATTCCATTGTTAGCCACTATCCATCTTTGCTTATAATGCTTGTGAATTAAGGCTATATTGAGGCAATACGCACAGTATGCACATATGCCAATTAGAGACTGACCAGTTGCAGTCTTAACACATCAATGGGAAGATTCAAACAAACAATACTAAACGAATTTAATAACTCCATTGTTTCAGAAATGTCTCGAAGGTAAACATATTAGTTACCAAGTCACTATGCTACCGATGCTCAACTGTATCCAGAAACATATAGTGGAAGGAAACGACCAAGCAAAGTTCCATTGCTAACTACTCTCAAGACAGTATATCATGTAAAGAAGACAATCAGTTTGGTGGATAAGTCAGATTAGAATACTGATAACACTAAACTCCAGACTAATTTCATCATAGATCAAGCAGCTTAATGGGAAATATAGATTGTAACTAGCAGTGACAATGAAAATAGCTGATTTTGGTCCTATTTTTCTCTAATCATCTTGATTCACCTTCATCCTTGTAAGTGTTGATTTTGATCTTAGATTATTGTAAGTGGAATTATCGATCTTCTTCTTATTCAGGAGATCCCTGAGTACTTCCTTGATTTTTTTTCAATTGATTCAGTTAAGTCCTTGATACTTTTATCTAACTTGAATCTCATGTAGTCACTTCAAACGGAATTCATCTTGGACACATAATCTGTTGTGTTCATTAGAATAACAACTGAACCTTTATCTACCCTTAATATCATTATGTCATCATTTCGCTTAAGATTTCGTAATGCTGTCAGATAGTTTTTGAATAAAAGTTTAGACTGTGATGTAGATGAAACAAAATATTGGTTCACGAATATCAACCAGCTGAGATCCAAACCAACCTTTCTCATATTCATCAACTAGGTGTTCAGTCTTTATCAGTTGAACTTTGATTTCTTTGAGTTTTCAAGTTTTTTTTACATTGGTTCCATAGATCGCTACACACTAGAAGGTAGTTTTCTATTTGACCTCATTTTTGAAATAAATTTTTCATCATTAAATACGACATTACATCAGTTATTGATACTTTCATCCTATTGTGGGACTCCTCAGCAGTGCGTATCCACGATCCCACCTCATGAGATTTAAACTCAGGACCTATCATTCTCGAGTGAGAGCGATTAACCTTTACATTACCAAGCCAGCATCCAATGGTGTCATTGTCTAACTTTAACTGATCCACGAAATTGCGTCACCGTCCATTATTGTCTTCAGTGAGTTGACATTGTAGCAAGCCCATTTAACTACTGTATTTTGTGTGTGCTCTCTGTAATCTTAACATCTAATCCACTTTGTAAATTTATGTGTGAGTCTGATTGAGCGCATATGTCTGCACATCAATCCTTAATTTGTTCTCTCATTGGTTGTAAACAAAGACAATCAATAATTTATCCACAATCCATTAACACACATAAATATATATGGATTTTTACTACTCACACACACACACTCTTGTTTTCCCTGTTTGCTTGCTATCTGTACGCTTGCGGATGTTTACCAAGCTTCATCAATAAACTATCTCTATAACTGGTGTTCAGGTTTTTGAATAATCTCGAGTAAACCCGTAATTCTACTAGGAGATTTAGCCTGCAGCAAATAATCAATTATCGGTATATTATTTATTTATTGAAGTCAGATATAGAGGAATTAATCTTTTACAATATCTCACAATACACCTGGTTGAACTCTACCGGTCACTGCTTCTTACTAGAACTTCAAGAAATACATCTTGAAGTCAATCATTGAAATATTTCAAAATTATTTTATTGATTTAATTTTCTTTTTTATTTATTTTAATTTTCTTTTCTTTTTTTTTCTTTCTAGTTATAGAAAAACAATCATTTTACAAATCATGGAAACAATTAAATTCTAGTTTAGTCAATATACAATCATTGAATAATATAATAGAATTAATAAGATGGTCAGAATTTTTAATAACCTTAGCTAAATTATCTAGTTCAGCTATAGCAACTATGTTTGGATTAATTTATTTCTCTGTGGTAAGAATTTAATAGTCTTTTTTTTTGTTGGTTTCATTGTGCTTATTTAATTTATATTACTCAAAGTTGAAATCATGAGTCAATTGAAGCTAGACCACCATCGAAAACCTGGAAGCACTGGACGGCCGTTTCGTACTATTATGGGACTCCTCAAAAGTGTGCATCCATGAACCCAATCTCGCGGGAATCGAACCCAGGACCTGCCAGTTTCAAGCCGAAGCCCTTAACCGATAGACCACTGAGCTGGCATCCAACGGTGTTAATGTCTAACTTCCACTGATCTAGCTTCAATTGACTCATGATTTCAACTTTGAAAAATACTGAAATCTCCACAAATCCCCTTCTAATTTATATTAGTTTATTTGTATTCATATTTGTAATAATGATATGATGGTTGCTACTTATGTTGAGAAATATATTTACTTACGCCTGTTACTCACAATGGAGCATAGGCCGTCGACAACCATTCTCCAATACACTCTGTCATGAGCATTCCGTTCTAGTTCTATCCAATTTTTGTTCATTCTTCTTATGTCTATCTACATTTCTCAGCGCAATGTGTTCTTTGGTCTTCTTCCTCTTCTTCTTTGACCTTCAGGATTCCATGTGAGGGCTTGTCTTGTGACGCAAATAGCTGATTTCCTCAAAGTGTGCGAAATCCACTTCCACCGCTTCTTCCTGATTTCTTCCTCTGCTGGAATCTGGTTTGTTTTCTCCCACAGTAACTTATTGCTGATAGTGTCTGGCCATCGGATCCGAAGTATTTTGCGTAGACAGCTGTTGATGAACACTTGTATCTTCTGGATGATGACTTTCGTAGTTCTCCACATCTCCGCCCCATACAGTAGAACTGTCTTGATATTTGTATTGAAAATTCTTTCTTTGTTGTTGGCTGACAGTTGTTTTGAGTTCCAGATGTTGTTGATTTGCCGATCCTCGCCTTCACATCTGCATTAGATCCACCCTGTTCATCAATGATGCTGTCCAGTTTTGTGAAGGTTTTCATATCCTCCAAAGCTTCTCTGTCAAGTGTAATTCTATTGATGCATGCTGTATTGCATCAGAGAGTCTTGCTCTTCCCTTTGTGTACATTGAAACCTACTACTGCTGAGGCTGCTGCTACACTGATTGTCTTTTCCTGCATTTGTCATTACGTGTGATAAAAGATTCAGATCATCCGCGAAGTATCAACCGTCCAGCTGCATTTTAGATGTCCATTGTATCCCTTGCTTCCCTCCAGGTGTTGACGTCTTCATGATCCAGTCGATCACCAGGAAAAAGAGAAAGTGTGAGAGTAAGCAACCCTACCTAGTTGATAGATAGATATAGTATCAAAAGTAGGATTCCTGTTTTAAAACGATTAAGAAGATTTAACTGAAGAGAAGAGAAAGAGATATAAAGAGAGAGCAACTGGGATAAGAATAGAATAAGAAGAATCATGAAGTATGTAAAGGACAACTGATGAAAGATATGCAAATAATGTTTTTTTTTGTATGGACCTTGACGACAGTCAAGATATGAAGTTTTCCATGCTAGTAATGTGACCTATGAGTGAAATCTGAACATTAATGAAAGACAATTATCTGGGTCTCCCTTCCTTATTTATCTATTCCAGTAATCCTTAGTGAATCTAAATTATTCAAACATATTAACTTAAGAGGTACAGTGTTATATTGTTTTTGCTTCTCGTGTAAGCTGGTCTTGGTTAGAACGATGTGATTTAAAATGTGTAAATACACTGCAGAGATATAATATACCCTAAAAATGCATAAATATGTTTCATAGTTGAAAGCATGAGTCAATTGAAGCTAGACCACTATCTTAAACCTGGTAGCACTGGACGGCCGTTTCGTCCTATTATGGGACTCCTCAGTAGTGCGCATACACGAACCCGCTCTCGCGAGATTCGAACCCAGGACCTACCAGTCTCGAGCCAGAGCCGATAGATCAAAGGTGTTAAAGTCTAATTTCTACTGATCCATGAAGTTGAGCAACCATTCACCAATTTTCATAAATATGTATTAGTATTAGTAGTGATGTATGGTATACTGTGAGAGAATTAAGTCATGATATCACTACATTGATCACTTGAAGGTTACGCGTTATATCTCCTCAAAACTTTGGAATCTAACTTGTTTTATACACCATCCTTAAAAATGTGAACTGAAATTTTGAGAATAATCGTTCGATTAGTACATATCTGTTGGTAACAAACCTGTTACATAATGTTAAGTTTATCATATCTATTTAACCAGATTTGAAATTTACCTTTAGGCAATAGAAAGTTAAACTTATTAGTTACATTCTGTCTGTTACTTTGATTGAAGAAAGTAGAATACATTACAAAAAAATGAAATACACTTCAAATCTTTCTATAATGGATTAAACTAAGTAAATCAATATGGAAACAGTTATATTAATATCAGAAGGGGTTTTTGTGGATATTTCAATATTTTCATAGTTGAAATCATGAGTTAATTGAAGCTAGACCACCATGGAAAACCTGGAAGCACTGGATAGCCGTTTTATCCTACTGTGGGACTCCTTAATAGTGCACATCAACGATCCCACCACACGTGATTCCAACTCAGGACCTATCAGTCTCTCATGCGAGAGCCTAAACTCTAGACTTCTACACAATAGTGGATATGTCGCTAAATTTGGTGGATTAGTTGAAGTTAGACATTAACACCATTAGATGCTGACTCAGTTATCTAATGGTTAAGCGCTCTCGAGCGAGACTGACAGGTCCCGAGTTCGAAACTCACGCGACGGGATCGTAGATGCGCACTGCTGAGGAGTTCCACAATAGAACGAGTTGACCATCTAAAATACATGTATAAACTGATATATTAGTCAAGAGGTTGATAAAATACATAAAGAGGTTACAAAAATATTCACTTTTTAATCTTTGTACATCTAAAGATTAGTTCATATGATTCATTGTAAACTATGATACTTATGTAATTATTCAATAGTGTTAGTTTGATAATCTTGACTGAGAATAATAAGGAATAATTTAGATTGAAACATTTCATTAACTGTACCCACTTTGATGTAAAAATATTTCGTATGAATTTGTTAATAACTTATAAGATCAAGTTTAATAGTTAAATGTTGGGATTAAATAATTGATTAGTTGACTTAAATCACGTAAAACATTGTTTTTCATGTACTCAACCAGTATAGAGAGCTGCTAAATTACTGGAAACCGGAGTATACTTGAAAGCAGTTTACCTTTCTAGTTTCTGATTGTGGTGTAATATAAATCTTTTATTGTACACAGGATAAAGTTATAAGATTTCTTGATTTCTGTATTATTTCTATAGTATTGAGTTAGCATAGAATAGTTTACAATTCTAACTACAGTCAATTCTTTATAATACATGCCTACAGTCGATTGCATCGATTAAAACTGCTTCATGTTCAATAAAGCTCCACTCTCATGATCATGACTTCTCATTAGGACTTCAGAAACTTCCCTAGAAGTTAGTGATTAATTCACAACTGTTTCATGTCAAGATGAAACTTTAGCGACCTTGAAATATTACTAAGTAGTTAAAGTTTAGAACCATACTTTAAAATGAACTACACTGCACTGACTCCAATAGTTGTTTTTGTTTGATCCTGTTTGGAGTCATAAATTAGCATTGTTAAAGTATCTCATATAGAAACAAAACACTTGTTCAGCACTCCTTCATGTTTAATAATTCGTAAACTACAATCAATCCGCAGATAATCTTCCATTTTTTTGTAAACAAATCTCTGTTATTTATGTAAAAACATCAAGTGAACTCAGAATAAATTTAATGCTTAACAAATATATGTAGTGCCGCAATTCGTTAATCGTTTACTTCGATAACCGTTATAATTCTAATCTTAACGGCGCGTTAAATCAGAAGACAAAGGATAGCAGCAATTACAGTTTATTGTCGAATAACTCAGGTCGGAAAGTTAGCAACACCTGGGCGAATAATAACGAGCGAGTGAACAGGCGAATAAGCGAAGGAAGCGAACGAGGCGGGAATGACATGCATGGGAGATGGCTGGGAAGCCAACTCGAGAGCGAGGCGAAAGATGATGCGTATTGGAGATGGCTGGGAAGCCAACTCAATTTAAGCAAGCGTTAATCAACACTTATAGTCGGACAAAAATGAGTGACAGACATAGGATGAATAAGATACGAAGTGTATACATATATGCTCATATAAAAGTATAGTCAAGGTTAATAAGCAAATGATTAACAAGATCAAAATATGACTCATAATGGATAGGCGAATCGGCTTGGCCAGCAACTAGAATAAAGTATATGGGCTTAAGATATAATCTGATACTACATATATACTAATGAAATCGGTCGATATTTACGCGATAAATTATATCCCTGTTGGGGTTGTCAAATCCCCAGAACTTAATTAGTAAATGGCTTAATTTTGTAATTTTATTTTAAAAATGTGAATTTTCTTGTTTTTGGCGCCAAAGGCGCTCTTTTCACCTTCAAGTCGTATTTTCCACCTGTAAAATATTTTAAATTCTATTGGTCCGTTGTATCTTTCAGTGTGCTATTTTGTAATGCTGTCCAAGGATAAATTATCGCTGCATATATGCGTTTGAGTTTTTTCCCCTTATGACTTGCTTGTACTCGGCTGCTTACGGAATAAATATTCCTTTACTTCGCTTTGAACTTCTTCCTCTAGTTAGTGAGGCCTGGGACAACGGATTAGGTTAGCCTATTGTGTCATTGTGTCATTGGTTTTCGTTCGTTACCGAGAAAATCGACTTAGCTTAAGCATATCAATCCCATTAAGAACAATAAACGTTTTGCACTGGTTTATGAGATTCACAATGAATATAACATAACTATGGAAATAACCTGTTCTTAATAGATTTAGAATAATTCAGCTCAACTTAAAACATTTCACAATAATAGTTGTTTTAAAGGCGCATACTTTAGAAATCTAACATTGTGTCACTATTGGAATACATTCAACCAAGTTTTAATATTAAAGATATATATTTATTGTAAATAACCTGGTTAGCAGTTGGAAGAAAAATGGTTAACAAATGACACCCGGTGTTAAAATGGATTTCTCCGAGTTCTAATAGAATGATGTGGTCCATCAAATCATTTGATTCAGTAGTGAAACAACATTTCAACGAAGCGATCCGACTACATTATAAGTCCCATAAAATCTAAAAATTATCTAACATTGACGTTCAATCGTCTAATACTATTGAAATTATCATAAGGTCTAAACAGTCTATATTCTTTCTAATGACAATTTTTAAGTGAGCATTATTGAATTGTCCAAATATATAAAAATGATCATAACTACTACAGTTTTGTTTTTGGTAATTCTTCAGTTGATATCAATTTATAATATCAAAAATTATTTTTATACTTGAAATTATGAGTCAATCCACAATTCCACTTGAGGTAAACGACAACAGAATCTTTGGTCTCACACACGAATACTTCAAATCTAGAATATTGAGTCAGCATTCAACGGTGTTGATTTCTAATTTCAATCAATCCATAAAATTGCAACACTGTCCACTATTGTATTTAGTGAATTACTATCTCACAACAGACTCGATTGAACTCGACAGGTCATTTGAAATACTCTCATATATAATGATGAAATCAAAACAGTATTTCTTACCTCCAATGCTTCCAGGTTTTTCATAATGGTCTAACTTTAATTGACTCATGAATTCAACTATAAAAATTATCAAAATCATTACAAAACCCCCTTTTGATAAAAATTATTTTATAATTAAATTAATGCTTTAATAACACTAAATCACTTCTTTTTACAATCATTTCACTGAATAAATTAAAATCAATCTAGCTAGCAGTGGAATTCAATTTGAGGCACATTTCGTCCTATTTGGGACTTGTCAATTGGATGTACCCACATCTCAGAGTTGATGTACACCTTTCTGTTCAAACGTTATAATGTTCTCTACTTAGCTACTGAGTCCTGATGGCCATTTGCTTATGCAATAGAGTGAAGTTTAAATTCACTTAATATTGTTTGTGTGAATCTTCTCATTGATACCAATAAGAGACTGCTGATCCATCTCAATCCTAAACATTAATGAGGAAGATTCATATAAACAATAAAACAAGTAACCGGATTTATAATTTGCTTCAATTAAAACATCCAGCTAACCTATTTATGAAACAATCTGTTGTGTGTTTTTGTTTGTTTGTTTGTTTGTTTGTTTGTTAATTTTTCTTTTTTTTTCTCGCTCTCTCTTTTAATATTTCTCTTTAAATTTCTTTTTTCTTTTTTTTAACTGTAATTGTCAATAATTAAACATTCGCCATATTTTGCTTGATTCCTAGAGGTAATGACAGTTTTGAGGTTTTTTTTAATGATAAGAACTAACTCATTTATGTCATTACCATTTAAGATAAAAAAAGGATCAAAAATAATAATAATAATAGTAATAGTAATCATAGTAATAATAATATTGACTACTGTTTTCATATTCAGCATATTCATCTATTTATCATGACACCACATGATGTATACAAATCAACAATGTGTTTCATTCCCGGCAATTGCCTCTTTATTATTATTATTATTGTTGTTGTTATCAGTAGTAGTATTAGTATTAGTAGTAATAATAGTAGTAATAGTAATAGTAGTAGTAGTAGTAGTAGCTGTTGTTGTTGTTGTTGTTGTTGTATTCAAATCACCACCGATCAGATCAAAGGAGAAAAAACTGACTTAAAAATTGAACATAAATTGAAAAAAAAAACAGCTTAGGAAGAAGAAGAAGAAACTGCTTTAGCTATTGAGAAAAAAAAAAGAGAGAAAAATATGTCATCACAAAATACATAAATAAATATGCAGAAAACAGTTAGCAATTATCATCATCGAATTCTATGTAAACATTTAAATTAGAAAAATTAAAAAATAAAAAAAAAATTTCTAGGAAGTAAACATTAAAAGTTATTCTATTTTGTTGCCATAGAAATAAATTATCATTTTTTTTTCTATTTTCAAATAACTAATTGATCATATTCTATTGAAACATTTAAAAAAAGAAAAAAAAGAAAAATCATCAAAGATTTTTTGTGTTTGTTTTCTTTTTTATTATCAATTACATAATTAATCTTTTGTTTATTTGTAAAGTGCATAGAATGACGTAATCACATGGTGCGATTTCAAGTACATTTATCATTTTAATAGTAATTAAAGGGTGATATTTTTCTAATAGCTATCCAATTATCATTATTATTATTACTTTTAATAGTTAATTTGATAATTAAAATAGTAGTAGATGAAAGTATGAACGGTTGTTCAAAATCGTGGATTGGTTGAAGTCAGACATTGACACCGTTGGATGCCGGCTCAATGGTCTATCGTTTAATTGATCTGGGGCGAGATTGGTAGTTCTTGAGTTCGAGTCTTGTGAGTACGGGATAATGGATACGCAGTCAAGCGATTTCAAGATTTCCATGATGGTCTAGCTTCAATTAACTCATGATTTCAACTATGAAAATAATAAATTCTCCGAAAAAACCCCTTCTGATCTATAATACTAAAAAAGTATAATTTAACGAAGAAAAAATATTAGGTTTATCTTAAAAATATTTTTTGATTCCGTTAAGAAAATGAAATTGATTAACTGTTAATAGAACCATAAAATTAATCCGATTAAATTTGGGACTACTCTGTGATGCGCAACCACGATCCCGCCTAACAAGATTCGAACCAAGGATATATCAGTCTCGTGCGCGAGCGCTTAACATTTAGACCACTGAGCCGGCATCCAACGGTGATGGATGCGCTCTGCTGAGAAGTCCAAAAATAAAACGAAACAGTTTTCCAGTTTTTTCATAGTTATCTAGCTTTAATTGACTCATGATCTAAGTAATTGAAATTAGTAATTAAATGTCTCAAACATGAAATGCTTTGTAGATAAGATTAATAAGGAATTAATATCAGAAAGGTGATTTTTTGGATAATTATAGTAATTTTTAATAGTTGAAAAAAACGAGAAGCACTAGACAGGCGTTTCGTCTTATTATGAGACTCTTCAGAGAATTATGCATGATCGCATTACAAAATAGACATCTTAGTTATTTCAAAAAAAGTAATTTATGATTGAATTTAAAAAGCAAGATACCGATTTTCACAATTGTGACAATGAAAAACTATACCGAAGACTAGTTGTTCAAGGGTGATATAACAAGTGAGATTTTAACACAAATTTATTGGAACAAATTGCATTTAGGTTAAATAATGTGTAACTATATCAACAACCAACATGAATATGATTAGTGAATGTTTTTAATTTAAACAAACTGTGATACACAATTTGATGATGACAAGTAGGCAATATTGTTTAATATCATCATTATATATGAGAGTATTTCAAATAACCTGTCGAGTTCAATCGTACCTGTTGTAAGATATTAACTCACTGAATACAATGGTGGACAGTGATGCAATTTTATAGATTGATTGAAATTAGAAATCAACACCGTTGAATGCTGACTCAATATTCTAGATTTGAAGTATTCGTGTGTGAGACCAAAGATTCTGTTGTCGTTTACCTCAAGTGGAATTGTGGATTGACTCATAATTTCAAGTATAAAAATAATTTTTGATATTATAAATTGATATAAACTGAAGAATAACCAAAAACAAGACTGTAGTAGTTATGATCATTTTTATATATTTGGACAATTCAATAATGCTCACTTAAAAATTGTCATTAGAAAGAATATAGACTGTTTAGACCTTATGATAAGTTCAATAGTATTAGACGGTTGAACGTCAATGTTAGATAATTTTTAGATTTTATTGGATTCATAATGTTGCTCGTTTAACGGTCTAGAGTTGAAGTGTTTGTACGTGAGAATGAAGACCCTGTTTTCGATTCCTTTGAATGGAATAGTGGATGGGCACTACTGAGGAGTCCCGTGCAAGACCGAGTTGACCATCCAATGCTTTCAGGTTTTCGTTGATGTTCTAACTTTAATTGTCTTATGAATTCAACAATTAAACTGCTACAATCTCTACAAAACCCCTCCCTGATAATTATAAATGTATTTATTACCATCCTGAAATATTTCTTCCCATATATATATATATATATATATATAGTCATAACAGTGACTCACTAACTTTTTTATTCTATTCATTTTATAAGTGGTATTCATTTTGTTTAATTGAATTGAATTTATTTACTTTTCTAGAGACCGCCAACATTAATTGCATTTCCTATTATAGTAATTATCTCATTTGGATTTTGTTATTTTATTTCAAGTGTTATACTTGCTACTTTACAAGTAAGTCATTTGGTTTGTAGTTTGTTTTGTTGTATGTTTTTCAATTTTTTAAAAAAACTACTTGAATTCATTTAGTATTGTTTGTTTGAATCTACTCATTGATGTTTTAGGACTACAACAGGTCAGTCTCTTATATGTACCATATGTGCATACTGTGCATAATACCTAGATATAGCCTTAATTTACAAGCATTATATAAGGTTACATTGAGGTAATACGCAAAGTTTGCATAGATGCCAATAAGAGACTGATCAATTTCAGTCCTAACACATCAATGAGTAGATTCAAACAAACAATACTAAGTGAATTTAGTATTTAATTCATTTTAAAATAATTTGTCATTGACAACAATCATGAGAATAGCAAGGCTACAAAGCTTCATCAGTTGTTGTGGTTGGGACAATTACCTATTTTGAAGTAGAATGTAAGATGATCTTCGACGGAATCGTGAGAGAGTACTGAAATCAGATTTCATACTAGTCGGTACTCAACAACATAAACTAGTTTTATTAACGACTTACTGGCTCATTTATGCAAACAGATCATTTTTACAAGAAATGGATTATTAAATTCACTGAGTATTGTTTGTTTGAATCTACTCATTGATGTTTTAGGACTACAATAGGTCAATCTCTAAATGGCATATGTGCATTACTGGGCGTATTGCTTCTATATAGCCTTATTTCACAAGCATTATAAGCAGAGATGGATAGTGGCTAGCAGTCCCAGAGTGAACATCACTTCTAAGATGCAGGTGCATCCAGTTGACGAGTTTCAAATAGGACGAAACACATATCCTGGATTCCACTGCTAGCCACTATCTATCTTTGCTGAATAAAGAATGTTTATAATCATTTTTTTCTTTTTTTTAATTGATAAACGAGATTATTATGGAATGATTTCCTTTTCCGATGGTTATCATTAGTCAAGTAGATGTATATTGTATCAAAGATTCATTTTTAATATTTTAGAACCATGGGGCTGCACCATCTGACGTTGCTTCATTGCCTTGTGGATCAGACCTTTAGTTTGAAGACTTCGGGTGTGGCGCCCTAAGAAAACCACCTGATTTGGTCTGAGCACCGGGGCAGTATCACAGCCCATACACAAATTAAGTGGCTTCTGTGGCGTATATTTATTCGGTGCTCCTTTGTACCAATATTTGTGTGTTCATATAAATAAATAAATATGCTTGGTCTCACGATATCCATCACATATTTGTTAGCTAAATTAAATGATTTTATCTTCGACATTCATTTTAAATAAGTATTGCAAATGCATGTACTTAATTGTTTAAACAAAACGATTTGAAGATGTTTTAAATCGATTAACCTCCACTACCATATTAGAGTGCAATGTTCAAAACAGTTTAAATCAATATATAAATAATTCATTCTTATATTCTCCACAACCTAGTGGTTATCTGAACTCATTAACTAAGTAGATAATGCAATGGCGTTTCAAGTGAACGGTACTCGCTTTGAGCCCTGGAGTGAACATCGATTCGGATGCAGGCACATACAAATGATGAGTCCCGAATAGGATGAGACGTCCGTCCTAGATTTCACTGCTAGACACCATACATCCCTGCTTACATTATGTTAATAGTTCTAATTATCATTGACTAATCATACAGCTCTACTTTCATTTAAAATGTCATCGTTCAAATTTGTCTCATCCCTCGTTAAGGTTGAATCCGGTTAGTTATTACTTCAATCTTAAGAATGTTGTCCTTATTTTGCCAATCCTCACCTTTACATCTGCATCGGATCCTCCCGGTTCATTACTGATGCTTTTATTTGGAACAGATAGATTATAAAGAATATTAACGAAATTTGTTTCTAAAATTATCGCTAAAACACCATCAATTTAATGGTTAAACGGGATCATTAACTCATTGAACCAAACATTAACATTTTGTTCTGTTTCTGATTTCCGATGTGATCATTAATACTACAAAGTGTAGGTAAACGCAGAAGTTAAGTCTCAAATATAACACAATGAGAAGTTTAGTTTCCTCTGTTAACTATAATTCATAGTTGAAAGCGTGAGTCAATTGAAACTAGACCACCAGGAAAAACCTGGAAGCACCTGGAGTTCTAGTGAGAAGCAGTGACTAGTGGAGTTCAGACCACGTGTGCTGTGAGATAGAAACTCACTGAAGACAATTGGTGAACAGTTGCTCAACTTCGTGGATTGGTTGAAGTTAGACATAAACACCATCAGATGCCGGCTTAGTGGTCTATCGGTTAAGTGCTCTAGCGCGAGACTGGTAGGTCCTGGGTTCGAATCTCGCTAGGCGAGGGCGTAGGTGTCCACTGCTGAGAAGTACCACAATAGGACGAAATGGCCGTCAAGTGCTTTCCCTGGTGGTCTAGCTCCAAATGACTCACGCTTTCAACTATGAAAATAGTAAATCTCCACAAAAACCTCTTCTGATAATTATAATTCTCCTTCCCATACATTGTTCTTTCTATTCTATAGCATATACTATCTACAATTGTCGTTTGTTATTGTTTACAAGAATATAAATTTGCAGAAGATGAACTATTTGGTCGTGAGTCTAATTTTATTTTTCGGCATGAAAATTTCAAGGTAAAAATCATTCCTACCTTTTTAATTGAATCAATCTATTTGTGATTCTGTTTTGTTTTTAAAATTATAACGTTTATAGTATGAAAAACAGAAGTAATGAGGTTAGTTAGACCACATTGTTAGTGGTCTGAAGTTATTGGATATGCCTTAAATTAGTTTATACCAACCATAGACAGTCGTATGAGAATAGGTATAACAGATCATCACCATTAGCACTTTGCTAAGACACCAATAGACCAGAATAGCTATCATTCAATCTAACGCTGGCTACTTAGTTGGGTTCTAAGATCACAAGCCATGAATGATATTTGAATGTTTGATTTTCGGAAGAAAATCAGAGTTCATCTTTTACTCCGTTCGTGTTTTAGTCAATGGCAGGAGCGTAAGCAGAAACGACAAGAAGACGATGACAACAGCCGAAACTTTTACTAGTTTTCTCCCTATCAATAAGTTTAACATAAAGAATCTGTTCCGGCTTCACACTCAATACTACATCTACTCTGGTAGGACAACGAAAAATTATCACCAAGTCTTCGGATACCTAATCCTAAATCTTATTTCACATACCTTTGTAACTATTTATTATGCAATCATTCATTTTCTTTCCAACGGTATAGAATCATTACACTATCATTAAAATCTTGGTCTATTTTTACAAGTATAATATGTTGTAGTGGCTTAGCTACGTTAATCAATCACCTTGATAACCAAAATAACGTAAATCCCAACGGTGTTTGAAATCAGAAGGCAACAAAAATGCGGTAACTACAGTTTATTAGCGGATACCACAGATAACAAAGCTACAAGCACATCGAAAGAATTTGAAGTAGATGCGAATCTGTATATGCTAACAAATATTGAGGCAAATTTATAATCACATCGAATAAGGAGCAGCTAGGCAAGGCGAAGGCTAATAATAGGATTCACGTACATACATACATGGGGAAGAGAATGAATCATCGAGCGATATTTAAGCTATCAACATTTTAGCTAGAGTCTGTCATATGATCAAGCGTACACGTTTAATGATCATAATAGTACAAAGAAATATGCAAATTGTAACTGTCCAAACAACATTATCTGTTAAAGAAATTAATAAAAGACCTTAACCCATGATTAAACATAATCAAAATTGATTATAGGTGAGTTACCTTCCTCAGTTTGACGAACTACTGAAAAACCAAGTGATATGAGACATGTGCTTTCAATTTCTAACCACTTCGGGCTTCATCTAAGCCCGGTCTCTAAGTTGATTGACCGATTAAACAGTATAAACTCACAAATCTAAACTAGATCAGCATTCATTCAAACTATTGGTTCAAATTTTCTACGTTATTCATTGTTCAATAATATGTAAAGATCATTCTTTTCTATCACTTTATGAGCTTTAGAAACAATAAGACATTCATTACATATAATCACTTAACAATAAATACACACTAGCGTTCAAAATAATAGTTATGTGGTGTATACTACTAATGTCGACATAAGTAATATATAACATCAGTCAGAAGTGGAATGCCTGGCATCTGAAAGTTGAGAAGATCTAATAGAAGAGAACGGGGACACAGAGTAATTGTTATGGCAATAAAGTATTGAACTTATAGTTTTCACAATTTACCAAAGAACTAGTTATGTCGACTATAAGTGGCAAATACCACAGTACACTTACAATCTAACCCATTTAACATGTATATCTCATAATTGAATGTATTTATTGTTCTTTAACTTGACTTGTTTGATAAAAACATAAATGTGTTGCCTATCATTGTTGTTATCTCATTCTCTATAATCATGTCAGTGTCATTTGGTCAAACTACTCAACCCTCCAAATTCAAAACCTAATACATTACGTAATGGATGTATATCAGATAAATTACATAATCAATTATCTGATTCATTTCAAAATTATCGTAATCTTGATATACAATGGATAGAGAATTCAGATGGTGATTTTAGTGTAAAAGGATTTTCATTAAATCCTCCACTTCCAAAGAAAAAAATTATTTGTATTCAATAATATTATGTAATATTGTAAATTATTGTAACATTTCAATTTCTATTAACATACATTCATTCTTATAATTCAAATGATACTACTACTACTTTCTTCCTTCCTTCCTTCCTTCCTTCCTTCCTTACTTACTTACTTACTTACTTACTTACTTACTTACTTACTTACACCTGTTATCCCTCGTGGAGGAGCATAGGCCGTAATACTACTTCTACTACTAATAGTAATAATAAGACTGATGAGTATTCATTTTCTATTCAATATAATGTATTCATATAAATGCTGATTATCATTTTTATAATCAATCATACAGAACACTATGTATTAAGACTTACTCACTTATGATGATAGAGTGAAAAGACTTTTTAAAGTGTCTTGTTTTATTTCCTCTATTCGTTTTTTGATATTATCGAAATATAACTACTACTAATACTACTACTACTACCACTACTATTACTACTACTACTAATACTACTACTACTGCTACCAATACTACTACCAATACTACTACTACTACCACTACTATTACTACTACTAATACTACTACTACTGCTACCAATACTACTACCAATACTACTACTACTACCACTACTATTACTACTACTAATACTACTACTACTGCTACCAATACTACTACCAATACTACTACTATTACTACCACTACTATTACTACTACTAATACTACTACTACTGCTACTACTACTACTACTACTACTACTGATAATAATAATAACTTTGTGATTATGTTTTCATTCGCACATTTTCAAATTATGCCCTTGAAACTTAATCAATCAATTCACAACGTTGGATACAAAAAAACGTTTCCCATTTTAAACGATTTTCATGTTGACTGTAAATAGATTGACTGGTACAATTTTTTTAATGAAATTTCTTGCATGTTTACGTAACTTTTTTTTCTATTTTTATTTGTGTAAATTTTGGCGCATGATTTGAACTAATAACATATTATAATAAATTCTCATTTAAATTATTTACATTTATTATAATAAAGAAGAAATGACTTTGAGTAAGTAGACAATTTGAATAGACTTACGGTACTAAATGATGATAACTGTGTTTGAATTGATCAAATGAATTCATTGGTTTAGTATTGTGGTGTAAGTGCTACTGATGTCAGCAGATATAAATAGTATATACCATCAATCGAAAATAAAATACCTAGAGACAGAAGATTAAAAAGATCGAAGTAAAGAGAATGATTGGTGTGGAAACAAAAGAACAAATCTTAACGGTTCATGAAATCAGAAGGCAAAGAGAATCTGCAACTACAGTTTATTATCAAATAATGCAGGCCAAAAAGCTATAAGCACATGATTAGGTATCAGCTAACGAAGCGAGAACGACACGCATCGGAGATGGCGGGTAAGTCAACAAATAAACTCACTGGGAATTACCGTATACCAGAACAACCAGTGAAAAGCAAGAAGGGCAAAGTAATCACCGACATTGAAGAATAACGAAACAGGTGGGTAGAACACTTCAAAGAACTCTTGAATCGACCAGCTCCACTGAACTCACCCAACATCGAAGCAGCACCCACAGACCTCCCAGTTGACGTTGGCCAACCAACAATTGAAGAGATCAGCATGGCCATCAAACAAATCAAGAGTGGCCAAGCAGTAGGACCAGACAAAATTCCAACAGAGGAACCAAAAGCAGATGTAGCAGCAAATGCAAAACTACTACATATTCTCTTCAGTAAAATTTACGATGAAGAACAAATACCAACAGACTGGAAAGAAGGACTCCTGATCAAAATACCAAAGAAAAGCGATCTCAGAAAGTTTGATAATTACACGGACATCACTCTCCTTTCAATACCAGGAAAAGTCTTCAACAGGGTTTTGTTAAACAGAATAAGGAACTCCGTAGACGCCCAACTTCGAGATAAACAGGCTGTATTCCGTGTACAGATCAATTCGTAACTCTTCGGATCGATATGGAACAATCAATTGAATGGAATTCATCACTCTATATTAACCTAGTTGATTACGAGAAAGCATTTGATAGCGTGGAAAGGCTAAACTATGGAGACTTCTTCGACATTACGGCGTGCCTGAGGAAATAGTCAATATCATACGGAATTCCGATGATGGATTAAACTGCCAAATCGTGCATAGAAGACAACTCACTGATTCATTCGAGGTAAAGACCGATGTCAGGCAAGGTCGCTTACTCCCACCCCTTCTCTTTCTTCTGGTGATCAACTGGATCAAGAAGACATCAACATCTGTAGGGTAGCATGGGATAAAATGAACAGCTAGAATGCAGCTGGACGATCTACACTTCGCAGATGATCTGGCTCTTCTATCACACACGCAACAACAAATGCAGGAGAAGATGACCAGTGTAGCAGCAGTCTCAGCAGCAGTAGGTCTCAATATACACAAAGTGAAAAGCAAGACTCTCCGATACAATACAATATGCACCAATCAAATTACACTTGACGGAGAAGCTTTGGAGGATGTGAAAACTTTTACAAATCTGGGCAGCATCATTGATGAACACGGTGGATCTGATGCAGATATGAAGACGCGAACCGGCAAAGCAAGAGCAGCATACTTACAACTGAAAAACATCTGGAACTCGAAACAATTGTCAAACAACACCAAGATCAGAATTTTCAACACAAATGTCAGGATAGTTCTACTGTTTGGGGCGGAAACTTGAAGAACTACGAAAGCCATCATCCAGAAGATACAAGTGTTTATTAACAATTGTCTTCACAAAGTATTTCAGATCCGATGGCCAGACACTCAGCAAAGTTCTACTGTGGGAGAGAATAAACTAGATTTCATCCAGTGGAGGAAGAAATCAGGAAGAAGCACTGGAATCTACTTGAAGGCTCTTCAGTTCCTAACAGGTAAAATATTGCTTATATATCTATTTTGTTGAAACATCTAAGTTATTCATATAAGTAAATTTGTAAATTAGCAAATAGATACTAAAAACACTTCAATATAATAATGACTTCTGAACTAATGACCAGTAGACTCTTGTCTAAATTACATTTATACTGATTCAATTTTGATAATTGAAACTGAAATAAGTAATTTTATTAAAGTGTAATTTTATATTTTACAATTTCAATTCTACTCAAATAATAAATCAAGAAGAAATGACATATAAAATAAAAGTAAAATTATTTTTGTTATATACCGATCAGAATGATGAATGGTAACTGTTGGGATCTATTTCTTGATTAGTACTATACATATATTATTACTGTATAATTGCTAAGTAACTAAACTATGCATATTCATGTTCCTCTTATTATTAGCTTTATTTTGACCTATGAAATATTATTATACGATTTACTATTCTTCAGTTATACCATGTCTATAGATTATCGTCTTCCTTATTCACAGCCACATTTAGTCAGATCTTGTACAAATGTTGTTTCCTATTTTATGGTACGATGTAGTCTGTTTGTTTGATTTATAAACCCAATACGTCTGAAATACATAATTCATATCGCAGAGACTGTTATTGGTGTTCTGTACTTAACAGGCAGGGCTAGGCGAGAAGCAGGGACTGATAAGGACTCTAGACTGCTCGTACAGGTTTTATGTGTCATTGATCTAGTCGATAATTCACTGTTCTCTAATTGACGGTATCATTATATCTTATATTGATAGAGGCGCAAGACCATAAGTTATAACAATCATATTATCTAAAATAAATTATGGTTCAATAATTTAAGTTATATTAAAAAAAGAAGTACAAAATCAAACTGCTTGGCAAATTGATCCAGTAAAAAGGGTTCGATGCACGTGCTAGAACGGATAAAATTAATAAACGTTTCTGGGAAAAGTGTAGTAAAACAAAAAAAAGAGAAAGAAATTTCCCAGAATCTTTTCATATATCAGCGTAAAACATACTGAACTATGAAATATAGATGATTGCATTACATGACATTGTAGTGAACGAGAACACAAGTGAGAATAATCGAATGTATTTGAACACAAAATTACAGAATAACGTAGTAAAATTTGAGAATCATACACAGTAAGTAATTCATTTGCAAAATGTCAATCAATCGTTTCAGACTTCATTTTTTTTTGTTTCTACACTAATCATTTTCCGTTCTCATTCTCTTCACTTCGATCTTCTTAATCTTCTGCTGCCAGGTATTTCACTTTTGATTGATGATACATATTACTTATACCTATTGACATCAGTAGCACACACCACAATACTATGATTATCACATTTTATTTATGTGTATGAGTTTGTTAGCATATATATTCAACCAGAAGTAATCACGATGTATGGTCAAAGATAGCGAAATTTATACTTGAATCATTGAGCCGTTTCGTCCTAGTATGGGACTACTCAACAGTGCTCATCAATCGATTCATGTTCTCAATTAAAGGTGAATCCTCTAATCTTTGTAGAGAAAACATAAAGCTTAGATCATTTTTTTTATCTGACATCCATTGTTACACATTTGCAACTTCCATTAGTTTCCTATATAGCATGAGAATTGACGACTGCTTCACTACAAATGCAAGTTTATATCACCAAATAGGGATTAACTTTGAATATACCTAAATGCTAACAACATGATTATCAGGGTAAATGATGATTTAGACTGTACGATATAATCAGAAAACAATTACACGTCTCAAGTCTTAACATTCGTCCTTACAAAACCATCATATTTGTACAATAAGGTTAAGTAACTCATATGGAAGTGTAAATAATAAATGTTTTTTGTATAAGGGTTTCTAGTGGAAATGATAGACAACGTCTAACTAGAGTTTATGAAGAGCAAACTTGAGAAAACCAGGCTGGACATGGATGTACAGACCAAATATTCCCGCTTCAAAAGATCCAGGAACATAGACGTACTTTTCAAAGTCTTACTGAAGTTGTATTCCTTGAACTTAAGGTATCGTTCAACTCCTTTGGTGTTAAGATTTTGTAGCAATGTCTGTCATTGAAAAGCGTACCCTACTGGTTTGGTCAAAGCCAATGGCAAACTACCATCCGAATTAGTAACTTCAAGTGATGTATGGCTCGACTGGCTTTCGCTGACTTGCGTCTTTTTTGGAGTAGGCGATATATCCGTCTTCCAACCAAAAGACAAGTTTACTGCATAACAGTTATCCCTATTCTACTTTATGAATGTGAAACATGTTCATCAAGACTAGAGGGCATTCATAAGGAAAGAATCAAAATGAAGCGCAATTAGTATGAAACTGCATGAACAATGAAATTAGAGAAGATGAACTGATATTTACAGAATGAACAGTGAAGATTGAGACAATTGGTTGTTAATTTGCAAATTAACTGTTCATTTAATGGTTATCAAAATTTAGTGAGATAGTCTTTAATTTTTGCTTAAATACATTCGATTGTCCTTAGTCATATTTTGTTCACTACAATAGTACCATAGATCTACATTACATATGCTTAACTTTGTGAGGTAGTTCAGTTAGAAGTATTAATGACAATCGGCTTATTCATCAAACTCTTTGATCAGAAATCGATTATTCAAAGCTTAAACTATCACCAGAAGAGTGAATGTATACCAGAGACATATTGATACTCAATATCATGTTGTAAAGATTGAAGATGATGTTAGATGACTCATTGACATTTACTAAGAGAAAACAGGTTTTCCTAAATGTAACCTTATTTTCCTAAACCCAAGTCATTTGAATTATTAGTCAAAACAAGATAATGACAAAATACTTTTTTTTCAATATCCCAAATAAAAATTTACAAAATAAAAAATTACAAAACCTTAATATGTATAAAACATCTAGAACATATTTTACGTAACTAGAATTGACGATCTATCAGGATAAATTTATTCGAAAAACATAATTGTACTTATTAAGCAAAGTTGGATAGTGGGTAGCAGTGGAATCCAGGATGAGCGTTTCGTCCTATTTGGGACTCATCAGCCGGATGTACCTGCATCTCACAGTTGATGTGAACTCTTGGACTTGACATTTAATCCTATATAGGTAGTAGGACAGTTTTTTTCAATAACACCGTTTAGAATAGGATCAATTTGATTTCTTTACGAAAATTTTATAATTAACGTTGATGTAATTTTGTGGTATGGGTTACGTATATCCATATAAGTAGTATATGACGATGGTCGGGCATCGAATGTATTACAGTAGAAGGTCGATAACGAAAGAACGGAACGAAACGCAATTGGTATGAAAATTCATGAACAAGAATAATCAATAACGATGGACTAATATTTGCAGAAGTAATTGTCAAGATTGAGACAATTGATTGACAGTTTGTAAATTACCAATTAACTAAAGGGTTCTCATTTTTTAATGGAATGTTCTGTAATTTCCTGCCTAACATATATTTGACTGTCCACTTCGTGTTCTTGGGCACTACAATTTTCTTAAAACATTTTACTTATTTACCTACGCCTGTTACCCCTCATTGAGGAGCATAGGCCAAACACTAACACTCTTCATCCAACACTGTCCTGGACAATCATTTCAAGTTGCTATTCATCTTTTTCATGTCTGTTTCCATTTCCTGAGGCAGTGTGTTATTCGGCCTTCCAATTTAGCTATTACCTCGTGATACAGTTTGATGATTTCCACATTGTATATACAATCCACTTCCAACATTTTTTCCTAATTCCCTCTTCATCTAGAAGTTGGTTTTTTCTCTCCCACAGAAGACTGTTGCTGATAGTATACGGTCAGTGAATGTCGAGTATCTTTCGTAGAAAACTGTTTAGAAATTATTGTACCATTTTGATGATAGTTGTAGTAGTTCTCCAAGTTTCAACTTCATACAGTAGAACTGTCATGACGTTAGTATTGAAGATTCTCACTTTGATGTTTGTTTGCAGACAGTTGTATTTAGCTGCATATGTTCTTCAACTGTAGAAATATTTTCCCTACTTTGCCAATCCTCACATTTACGTCTGCGCCGATTCCTCCTCGTTTATCAATGATACAGTCCAGGTACTTGAAACTTTCCACCCCTTCCACAGTTTCTTCATCATGTATGATTGAATTGGTGTTCTTTATGTCGTGATTAAGGGTGTTGTTTTTCCCTTATTTATATTGAATCATATTGATGTAGAGTTTACTATTATACTAGTTGATTTCATTTGCATTCGTTGGTGTGTATGGGATAGAAGAGTTAGGTCATCTGTAAAGTTCAAATCGTCTCGTTGCATGCAAGCTGTCTTTTATATTCCATGCTTCCTATCAGATGTTAAGGTCTTCATAATCCAGTCGACTACCAGAAGAAAGAGGAATGAGTAGATCAAGCAGCCTTGTCTGTCTCATGTCCTCACTTGAGTTGCAGCTGTCCTCCATGCACAACTTTGTATTGTACTTATCTTAACTTATCTAAACAATATAACATATTTTCATAGGATACAGTTTAAATATCAATTAGATATTGAAATTGTCTTTTAACACATTTATTATGACTTAGGTAAATGTTATATTTTGACATATTTATTCAGTGACGCTTATTTAGCAACAAATCAGAACTCAACAATTTGACTATTTATAGTTTTGAAGATGATGGTCTCTAAAAAAGAAATATTTTTATTTCCAGTCAATAACAATGTCCTTTAAACTAACATTATAAAAGGTTGTGGAGTACATTAGAATAATAAGTATTTATTAAATATATCATATCTTTCTTATTTCAAAGTATGCTCCCAAGTTGACCCTCTAAGATATTTAAAATAAGAGTATAAAGCATATGTATCAGACCTATCTATTTGAAGACAGTTTCATAATTTAGGCACAGGTAAAACCACAGTAAGAATATATATTAAACATATCTAGCAATTATCAATTTGTGCAGTCCGTTAACTATAAAATTATATATCACAAGACAAGCATATGGTCAAAACTACCCTTTTCAATATTTAATGACTGTGAAACATTGATTATTGCGGTGAAATACATGAATAGATTATAAACTACTCGATCAAGGTTATCTCGAGACAAAACAACTGATTAAAATAGTGCTACTTTTAGAAATAGAATTCTAAGCAACTAACTCAGATCATTCAATAAAACTTCATTAGTTACATTTACATTGGTTATTTAAATCATTGAATTGATGTATAGGGCTGAGACTATTAATTCCGTTTTGGTATATGTGCATCCTGCGAAGATTGCCTTGAAATTACTTTAAAGTCACAAGCACTTTAATTAGTATTAGATGATGGCTAGCAGTGAAATTCTGGATTTACATTCTATTCTATTTAGGACTAGTCAGTTGAGTGAACCTCGATCCACTTGACAATATCATTAACAACTACTTCTAAAAAAACGCAATACTATTAAAATTATTCAGTTATGTCCGAAAATATCTGATCAATTTTATTGTTTATCCAGCTTATGTAATCAGTTGGGATAGTAATATTGCATTGGATATTTAATGTATATATATGACTTTTGAGCATCTAAATCTGGCTGGAATCAACTTACTTTCTTACTTACTTATACCTGTTACCCCTCGTCAAGGAGCATAGGCCACACACCAGTATTCTCCATCCAACTCTGTCCTGCGCTTTCCTTTCCAGTTCTCTCCAGTTGCTATTCATCCTTTTCATATCTGTTCTATTTCCCGGCGTAGTGTGTTCTTTGGCCTTCCTCTTTTCCGCTTCCCTTCCGAATTCCAAGTTAGGGATTGAGTCGTGATGCACATTGGTGATTTCCTTAATGTATGTCCGATCCACTTCCAACGTCTTTTCCTAATTTCCTCTTCAGCTGGAAGCTGGTTTGTCCTCTCCCATAAAACGCTGTTTCTGATAGTATCCGGCCAATGGATGTTGAGTATTTTGCGTAAACATCTGTTTATAAATACTTGTACCTTCTTGACGATGGTTGTAGTAGTTCTCCACGTTTCAGCTCCGTACGTACAGTAGGACTGTCTGGACGTTCGTATTAAAGATTCTGACCTTGAAATTAGTTGAAAGTTGTTTTGAGTTCCATATGTTCTTCAATTGTAGAAATGCTGCCCTTGCTTTGCCAATTCTCGCCTTTACATCTGCATCCGATCCTCCTTGCTTATCAACGATGCTCCCCAGGTACTTGAATGTTTCCACCTCTTCCAGAGTTTCGCCATCAAGTGTGATTGGGTTGGTGTTCTCCGTGTTGCATTTGAGAATCTTGCTTTTCCTTTTGTGTAGGTTGAGGCCTATTGATGCAGAGGCTGCTGCTACATTTTTTGTATTCGTCTGTATTTGTTCGGGTGTATGAGAAGAGAGCTAGGTCATCTGCGAAGTCCAAATCATCTAAATTATTCTGAGCTGTCCATTGTATTCTGTGTTTCCCCTCAGAAGTTGAAGTCTTCATATCCCAGTTTGTCACCAGAAGAAAGAGGAAGAGGGAGAGTAGACAACCTTGTCTAACTCCGGTAGCTGGAATAAAGCTTAGTTTAAATTACAGTGCAAGAAATATCAAAAATCTATAAAACAAGGTATAATACTTTCAATCTTCATTAACAATTAAATTCTGATTGGTTATTTGATTTAGACCAATCAAAATTTTAGAAAAAAAAAACAAATTATCTCATTTCAATTTTAATTTTATATTATTCACTTCATAAAATCATGCTTAATTAAACTTACCGATTTATTCTAAACTATGCTTGCTTCTTCTGTAATTATTGAAAATATTCCATTAATACCAATGACACCACAAATTGTTATAGAAATACCAACAAATTCCCCTGAAGAATCAAATTATAATAGTAAATCTAATTTAAATTCTAGTTTAATGAATAATTTATTTATACAACCAAAGAATCATGGTTGGACATCTGGTACATCAAGTCCAGGATTATGTTTACAAAATTTATTAACACCATATTATTGGCCAACAAATCAACGTCACCTATTATCAACATATGAAAATTCTTTAAGTCATGGAAATCTTAAAGATGATGATATCAATAGAACACCTTCACCAATGTTATTTACATCATCTTCATCATCATCGCCAATATCTTCATTACATAATACAAATCAATATAGAAATTCATATTGTTGTATTACAAATCCGGGTAAAACAAAATATTATCCATCATTGGATAAGGATCAACATTCTAGTTCCACTTCATTAATATCAAATTATAATTTAAATAAATCTTTATACTTAGATACAGATCATTATATCTATCAACAAAAACAATATCTTCAATCTGATAGATTATCTCATATACATAGATCATTTAAAACTAAATCTATTCATAATCCATCTAATCGTTCTATAAGTCCATATTCTTTCTATAATTATTCACAATGTATACCTTATATATCAACGGATAATCATTATAGTGATATAGATTTTATAAATTATCATAATGGAAATCATTATTCCGATAGTGTATATCTATCTAAAATGATGTTATCTAAAATACAAAAACAAACTATACGTCGTACATCATCACCATTATCATATCATAGTTTAATGATATCATCACAGATATTATGTAATTCATCAATTACTACAACTACCTCATCTAATAATAACAATAATAATAATAATAATAAATCAAGTTTCCTTAGTAACTATCCATGTAACCGTTCCACCATTCGACAGTTATCCACAGTACAACGTTCTAATTCTTTACCAGAATTATCAACCATTATAAAATATAATGAATATAAAATTAATTCAACTATAAAATATTATACAAAAAAAATGAAAAAAAATGAAAAAACTAATGATCTATGGTATAAACATAAATCTATAGGGAGGTCATGTAATTTTCAATTAACTCCATTACAATCTAATTATATGTTACCATGTCAACAAAAATTATATTTATCACCTTCTATGAATCATCGTCGACATACAGAAGGTTGTAGTCATAAACCAAATACATCATTATTATTATTACAATCAAGTCGTCGTTCAAATTCTGTATGTTCACAAAATCATTGTGATTTTAATATGAATAATCATAATATTACTCATGAAAATATTATTAGTAGTATGCGCAATGTGAATTTTATCCATAATAATCGTAATGATTTATATGTTTCTAATCAATCATTCATTCGATCTTCTAATAGTCAACTAATGAATGATTGTAATCATCATATACAACCATCTATATCACTTTTAGTAAATTCAAATTTAGGTAATAATAATGATCCAATTGTAAATCCCATTGATTTAGACTTAAATAAAACTGACATTGTGCAGAATGGAACGGAGTTACATGTGAAGAAAGGTGATTCATTTACACATTGTCTATGTTCATTAATTGTGTTATTAGTATGTATGCAATTATTTCTTGGTACTATATCTACTGCACTTGGATTATTTTTAACATGGAAAGTACCTGAATTAAATCCTATGGAATGTGCTTATTTATCTGGTATACCTGTAAGTTCTTTATTTTTTTTTAGTTTCTTTTTTGTATACCCTGGTACAGTCGAGAGTGAAGAGATTCCACTCTACCTCTCGAAATGCTCTCACATGGTCACGCGTATATAGCCTCTACCAGGGAAGTCATACTTACTGCCTTCTCGCGGAATTACTGTTGTTTACGAAATTGAGAGGATGAAAAGCCAATGTCTGGCGCTTTAACGGGGTTAGTGGATGTGGAGTGTCCACCTAGGGGAGTTGGAAAACCCTGATCCCAAACCAATGGTACACATGGACTCCAGTATCCTGAGGAAACAAATGGCGCATGAATCAATTGTTGGTCACCGGCTACCATGGGACTGCATCTCCCTAAGATGCTCTACTGCCTTGTGGATCAGATCCTTAGGTTAAAGGCTCCGGGTGTTGTCACCTAAGCATACCACCTGCTTCAGTTTGGGCACCCGAGCAGTATCACAGCCCTCACACAAACCAAATGTGATTTGTGCGGCGCATATTTATCTGATGTTTCCTTGTACCAATATTTATGTGTTTAAATAAATAATAAATAAATTACTTACCATATGAGTGTATATAGTTTGTAAAAAGCAAAAAATAATAATCAGAATGGAGATTGTTGTAATTTTAACAGTTGAATTCATTAGTTGATCTAAGCTGGAGGTTAATCGTTCGCTCGTGAGATCAAAGGCCCTGGGTTTGAACCCTGGGTATTATGAAGTGCATTCCTGAAGAGTCACGTACTAGGACGAAACGACCGTTCAGTGCTTTCAAGTTTCCAGTGGTGGTCTAGCTTTAATCAACTGGTGAATTTAACTGTTAAAAACAGTAACTTTATGATTCTGTAAGCAAAATTTAAAATTCTATTCACTTTAAATTGATAGCTACATCAACTAGGCTGTTGTCCTGAGCTTAATCATAATAAATAATAGTCGTATAATTGTTCATCTAAGTCATAGAAATAAATTTCATTCATGCTGTTTGCAATTTTAGAATAATGGAAAGTGTAAACATTTGTCATTGAATGTTCTTTAAGGCTCGATACATCGATGTTCATAGATTGATGTCACTGATAATAGTAATACTCTTTACTTAACACCATAAACTTGATCATAGGTCAGAAATTTCAATATATAATGTGGGAAATTTCCAGTTTCTAATCATTTAGCCTGTGATCCTTAATATATGTATATAAACATTCCAAACCTTGATCACTTGCCATGTATATTCATCCATATACATTTGTGTCCTGTTCCCATTAAAAGTTCTTTCCATTCATATGTGTAAAGTCTAGTATAACCAACTCTTGTTTATCTAAATAGACCTTAAGAAGGGACTGTAGAAGGCACATAAGTGATATTCAATACAATAATAGGCAGGAGGAATTTATAAATAATACGAGATTACAAAGTATTTACATAACGACGATACATTATTCTTTTGGCGTGTACCGTCAACTGAACTCTTCTCGTCTAGTCTCCAATTGTTCTGCTCAACTCCATGATTTTAGTGCACCAAAACTCATCACTCTATCTGACAATTCTTTACAATTTTGACACCACGTTCCGCTACACACTACTTACAAATATCATTGTGAGTAGCGTCCGTCACACTAGAACTTTGTAAGGTAAGACTTGTAACATTTTTTATGACAAATTAGGTATCGGTTATGAAGAATAAAATAAAGTCTAGTATTACGGAATAAAACTCAATCATTCTAAATTAATTGTTTAGTAAATACTGTAAAAGAAACAAACATGAAATAATTATACTCGAAATAGTTTTCTCAACCTTACAATATTCTAACAGTTGAGATCATGAAGCTTCACCACCATGGAAAACCTAGAAGCACTGGACAGCCGTTTTGTTCAATTGCGGGACTCCTCGGCCGGCCGTCCAGTGCTTCCAGGTTTTTACATAGTGGTCTAGCTTTAATTGATTCATGATCTCAACTGTTGAAATTACTACAATATCCACAAAACCCCTTCTGATATGTACTATATTCTTTTATCATTATTCTTTCTAACAGAATATATTTATATGAAGATCAATTACCACATAACTATCATTTAATATCCCTTTTATCTATCAAATTTGACATTGCTTTGTATAATAATACTACATTGAGAATAAGGAGTATTATCAGAAGGGGTTTGTGTGGATATTATAGTACTTTAAGATGGTGGTTTAAGGTGGTCAACAGGAAACCCTGGACCCGGATTTCGTGCTACTTGGCACTCGTCAGCAAGGTGTACCTGTAATCCTGAGGGAACTGATGCTCCCTGGCGGATTCGATCCCGTGTCACTCAGCTTCACAGTCAGAGATGTTACCACTGAGCTATTCAGGTCGCAACCGACCACCTGTACTTTTGATAGTTGGGAACATGAATCACCACCATGGAAAACCTGGGAGCACTGGACGGCAGTTTCGTCCTATTGTGGGACTCCTCAGCAGTGACCAGTGAAGTTCAAACAAGTCTGTTGTGAAATAATAACTCACTGAAGACATTGGTGAATGTGTCGCTCAATTTCATGGATCTGTTGAAGTTAGACATGAACACCGTTGGATGCCGGTTCAATGATTCAGAGATTAAGCGCTCGCGCGCGAAACTTATAGATCCTGGGTTTCAATCTCGCGAACTGGGATCATGGATGCGCACTGCTGAGGAGTCCCACACTAGAACGAAATGGCCATCTAGTGCTTCTACATTTTCCATAGTGGTCTAGATTCAATTGATTCGTGATCAGAACTATCAAAACAAACAATATATTATATGAAAATAAACATCTTGAAATAATCGCTACAATAAAACCAATTAGAGAAATATGTTGACAAAGTTTACTTAATGTGATCTAATTTTTCTCTTTTCTCTTTTGTTTGTTCTTTTTTTTCTTTTTTTTGAAACATTATCAATATAAACAAAAGACTTAGATGACATTTTACAAGAGTTTGGTATATAATTAGTTAACTTGTACTGAAATTAGTTGAATGTGCATTTAAAAATAAAAAAACTGTCATTGTTGACAGTTGTCTTTTTCTTTTTTACCACCAATCAACTGTATCCATATGTATGTACACATTTTAGTGTGTGAAAAAAAATGTGTATTTCGATTAGTGAATTGAATGTAAATATGTATTTTGATAAGTTGAATTTCTTCTCAATGATACCTTGGATATAATCAGTTACCGAGTCCTGTCAATAAGAAACTGATCAATTGCAATCCTAAACATCAATGGGAAGATTCAAGTAAAACAATACCAATTGAATTTAATCTTCACTTCATTGCACAAGCAAGTGGCTATCAGGACTCAGTGGCCGAGCGGATAACGCGATGGCGTTTGAAGCGAAAGGTACTTGGTTCAAGTACCAGAGTAAACATCAACACTGAGATGCAGGTACATCCAGCTGACGAGTTCCAACTAGAACGATATGCATATCAAACTGGATTCCACTGCTAGCCACTACCCAACTTTGCTTATAATGCTTGTGAATTAAGGCTATATCGAGGCAATACGCACAGTATGCACATATGCCAATTAGAGACTGACCAGTTGCGGTCCCAAACATCGATGGGAAGATTGAAACAAACAATACTAAGTGAATTTAAATAATATTAACTGCGCTAAATATAATTTTCATTCGTGACTTCCGCAACGTTTATTCTGTCCTCAGATTCATATTTTTCGGTGTACATTTTAGTTGCATTACGTAAGCGTGTTTATCTAACACCTATTCAGTAAACCTTAAACTCAATAATTTTTCATTATCTTATTATCATAATAGATAGACATTAACACCATTGGACAGCAAACTCAGTGCTCTAAAGGTTAAGCATTCACGCATGAGACCGAAGGTCCTGGGTTTCAATCCCATGTACTGGATTGTGGATGCGCACTGCTGAGGAGCCTCGTACTAGGACGTCACGGTGGTCTATTGCTTTCAGGCTTTCCAAGGTGGTCTAAAATTGGTCAATTCATGATCTCGATCGAAATATCTTATTGTCATTAAAACAGACTATGAAATGTATTGTAACTATCTCAAAATTCCTAAACTATATTCATCTTAAATGATAAATTAATCAGTTTATTCTTTCAGTTGGTCAAATTAACATGTGATAACTAATATTATATTCAGTTTAACAATATAATGATCAAAATTTCCATTTGTTTTATTGTTTCTAATTGTTTAAATATATAAAACAAACACTAATCCAACCAAATCCCAAATGGACTACATGCTATTACATGAAGGATATTCACATGTTGGATCAGTTAGCATTACATAAACTTAATTTATATATTCTAAAAGATTTTTTGCCTTTATGGTTTAACTTACTTTATATGTTAAAATATTTGTTGATCAAATTGCACTAAGTTTGAATCCTGGAGTGAACATCAACTCTGGGATGCAAGTACATCTAGCTAACTAGCCCTAAATAGGACAAAAAAACGCACATCCTCAATTCCACCGCTAGCCACTTTGTTTCTTAATTATCTTTATTGTTAATTTGATAAAATAATTTCAAGATTGTCTATTCAACGTTAGCAGTAAATTTTTAATATATTCATATTAGATGATAAGTTATAGGTAATGAATTTTCCCTACATTCATACAAAGCATTTACTAGTTTCTTCGTCTCGATAAGCAATGGTAAAAAACTAAAGTTTATTAAAAGATGTTTGGTTGTACACAATTTGTATGGGACTCCTCTGAAGTACATGTCAACGGCCCCTATAACGATCAAACCCAAAATATTTAGACACACCGTTAAGAGCATCACATCCAGACTACTGGTTTAGTATTCAATGGATCATATATCCGATTTCAAACAATGATTATCATCTACCCTCATTGATAATACCCATCTCATACCAATCACTGTTAGACTTTATGGGTCATAAATTTTTATCAAAATCCCATAATTTTCTCTTGATTGATGACATTAGTGACTTACTTACTTACTTACGCCTGTTACCCCTCGTCGAGGAGCATAGGCCGCTC